ACTCACATTGGGGAGCCAATTGGGATTGGAATTTCTCCCATGGTGGATCCAATGGGGATTGGAATTTCTCCCCTGCATTCATTCCAGGGAGGTTTTCTCCTGGATGATTCACGCTGAGGGAGGTTTGCTGTTTGTGTGTGTTCTTGTTTTGCTTTGGCTGTTTGTTGTTGCTGAAGATGAAAAGCTCAAGTGCAGCAGTGACTGTGCTGAATCCCCTCAGACTCTGATGGGGTTGGGAGATAGAAGGACCAACCTGGCAACACTTTGATTGCTCTGTCTGAACTCCTTTTGCAGCAACCACTGTACTTTGCCCTGTTTGGAAATGAAGGTGTTTTGTGCAGCTTGGGTTGATTTAACTCCTTTGTGTCCCCTCTGTGCCCCAGGAGCTCACCATGACAGAGGAGGCATGCAGGACTCGGAGTCAGAAACGAGCCTTGGAGCGTGACGTGACGCCCAACGATGTGGACAGTAAGAAGATCAAGATGGAGAAAGGACTCTTAGGCACAGATCTCAACGCTGAAGGAGACATGAAAATCAAAGCAGATCCTGGAGCTGGGAAAGTACAAGGGTTGTTAAAGAGTGGAGAGGTGAAGGCAACCATTAAAGTGGAGGTTCAGACTGGGGATGAGCCTGTGGACATGAGCACCTCAAAAAGGTGAGTCACAGCCTGTCCTGCTGCACTAGAACACTGGGAATGGTCAAATCATGGAGTCAGGGAATGGTCTGGGTTGGAACTGCCACGGGCAGGGCCAGTTTGCACCAGAATGTGGTGGTAAAGAGAGTTAAAATGGGATGTGTATGTGCAGCTCTGGATCTTCACCTGAGATCCAGCAGCTCCTTCTGGGACCTTCTTGCCTGATTTTCCTTGGGCAGATGAGGAAGGAAATAGGAACTTAAACAGCAAACTCACAGGTTAGAAGGAGAATCTTAGAATCATGGAATGGTTTGGGTTGGAGAACCTTAAAGCTCATCCAGTTCCATGGACATGAGCAGGGACACCTTCCACTAGCCCAGGTCGCTCCAAGCTCCATCCAGCCCCCAAAATCCTTGGAGAGGATTTGCTTGGAGCTACTGATGGAGAGTTCAGGGAGGAAGAGAAGTTTGGGGGGTGGTGACTGAGCTGTGGTCCAGGAAGAAGAACAGGTGATAATGTCCAGCCAGAGGACTTGTGATCCTCCCTGAGTGTGGATGGATAGGTCTGACTTTGCCTTATGAAGTCACTTGTGGATTTGGGCACTGGAAATGCTAAGGCCAGGCAGGACCTGTCTCTGCAGGACAAGGCTCCAGTGCTTTCCTGGCAGTCCAACCACCTGGAGATGTTGGAATTCTGACACTTCAGAGCACAGGCTCAGAGTCCCTTAGCCCTTTGGAGGGTTTCACTATTACACAGATGTAAAGCTTTTCCTTGGACTTTTGGATGAGACACACAGAGGAATGTGGATGTTCTGGCATGTGGATTTACAGCCTTCAAACCCAGATTCCAGATCTTTTCCCAAATTTCTAGCCCAGATTCTGGGTGTTCTACCACATTCAGGCAGAGATCCTGTGGCCTTGCTGCTGGTGAGTGAGTGTGGAGCCTCCTGTGTCCTTCTTTGTGTTCCAGGTGGTGCTGGAATGCTCAGGTGTAGGGATTCAGCCCTGCCTGGCTGCACTGTGGCTCCTGCAGGGTGATGTGTGCTCAGCTCTCTGAAGGTTCAGCACTGTAAGGTGTGAACTGACACCACCAGATCTTATCCACTGTGCTGGGATCGCTGGGAGGAGGGAGCTGGGGGAGCTGCCAAGGGAATTAGGGGCTTTGATGTTTCATCTGGAAACTTTTCCAAGCTTTTGATGCCTTTTGAAGAGAAATAACTTGACTGCAAGAGCCTCATTCCTTGCTCCCTCACTGCTGCAGTGTGTGGAAACCAAGAGCTTTGCCAGCAGTGATTAGAGAAGCCCAAAATGGGTTGGGTTGGAAGGAGCTTAAATCCATCCCATCCCACCCCCTGCCATGGGCTGGAACACCTCCCACCAGCCCAGGTTGCTCCAAGCCCTGTCCAACATGGCCTGGAACACTCCCAGGGATGGAGCAGCCACAGCTGCTCTGGGAATTCCCTCTCAGCCTCTCACCACCCTCCCAGGCCACCCGCAGAGGGAAGAATTCGTTCCCAATATCCCATCTGTCCCTGCCTTCTGGCAGTGGGAAGCCATTTTCTGTGTCCTGTCCCTCCATCCCTTGTCCCAGGTCTCTCTGCAGCTCTCTTGGAGCCCCTTTAGGCACTGAAAGGGGCTTTAAGGTCTCCCTGGAGCTTCTCTTCTCCAGTCTGGACACTCCCATCTCTCCCAGTTTGTCTCCAGAGGGGAAGTGCTCCAACCCTGGGATCAGCTCCATGTCCTCCTCTGGAGTTGCTCCAACAATTCCATATCCTTCTCGTTTTGGGGGCGCCAGAACTGGGCACATGCTCTGGGTGGGACCTCACCAAAGTGAGAGAGAGAGGCTGTGAGGGAAGCTGATGGTTTCCAACTTTCCCAGTAAACCTTCTCCCACAAGGACAATGACACAGAGGGACAAATTGGTGTCCAGGAGGTGTTTGTGTCCTGCCCAAAGTGGTTCACTGGGGCAGGGGATGAGTTCCCTGTCAGGAACTTGTGCTGTGCTGGGTGAGAGCAAATCTCTGGAGGTGTCTGTGCCATACTCACCTCCCCCTGGTTACCACAGGAATGCAGGTTGGGTTTGAGGCACAGCTAGGAAGATTACTCCTGGAATGGAATAAATTAGGGAGTCTCTGACTCTCTACTTGCAGCTCTTGCCCCCACATGCATCTGCTCTTTGATTTAGAACCCTTGGGAGCTGCATTCCAAGGTTCCTGCTCTGTCCTTGCCCAAGAGTCACAAACAGGGTGATGGACAAGGGACTCTCTCCTTCCCAGAGAACACCTGGAACATCTCTGCCATGAGCTGGGAACATCCTCTCTCCATGGCATTCTCTTTCCAGGTGGTGACAGGATACTGCTGGGTTCAGGTTTGGGAAGGGAGAGGCTTCCCTGGCCACCACATTTACTGTAGCCACTGGAGTTCATCATCAGAAGTATAATTAAGGACTTCATGAGGCTTTGCATGAGCTCTTGGATCCCTTTATGGGTTGGGACACCTTCCCTGACGCCTCTTTATGAAACTCTTAGAGAGGAATTACACCTGAGTCACCTCAGGTGGCCAAGGTCAGCCTGGAGGGGTTCTGCAAGCTCCTGGTGTCAGGCAGCACTTCCCAAGCTCTGGAATTCTGCTCCCACCCAGTGGCTGTGCCCTTGGGCCCTGTGTGGATCCAGAACTGAGCAGCTCAGGGTGCAAATCCCTCCTGGGAATGCCACCAGATAGATGCCTGTGGTAGGGAGAAGCTTCAGGATGAGTCTGATTCCTGCATATATCAGCACAGAATTGACATTTTTAGGGAGTGTGGATCTTAGTTTCAGTTATTGATTTATTTCAGGTGGGATTTGCTTTTCCGGCCCTTAGATCTCCAGAGGGATGAGCTCCCAGGGATTCATCTCCCACCTCCCAGGGCTCATCTCTCACTTCCCAGGAATCTGCTCCCATCTCCCCCTCAGCTCTGGCTCTTTGCAGCTGATTTTCTGAGCAGATACACAAAGAGCTGTTGCTTCAAGTCCCTGAACTGCTCCAAACCTCTCAGTGATCTGTGGTGTTTAGGCTTTTCAGCTTCCTTAATGCTTTCAGAACTTGCAAACATAATATTTCCCTTGGAAAAGGCACAGGAATCCCAGCAGAGCTGACACAAAGCTGATTGAGTGGTTGCAGGGTCTGAAATCAGTTGATTTTCAAGATTTGAAAATCCAAACCTACTTTAAACTTTTAAAAAAATTGTGGGTTTAAATAGGAATATTTTTTTTTTGCCTAAACCTTGAAGGGAAATATAAAAATAGGAGGTGGTTGGAGCTGCCAGGAGAAACAAGGGAAGTCTGTGGTGGGAGAAAGCTTTGCTGAGAGGTCACATGAGGCCAAACCAGACTCTTGCTCCTCTGCCTGGTGGTTTTTCCATGCAGTTTTCCTGGGCCTGCTGCAGGAGGAATGGCAGGAAGGAGAGTGTTCCCCTCACTCAGGGAATGTCTGGCAAAATAATTCCTCAGAAGTCACTTTGCCTGTGAATAAACCAGTTTAATCCCCATGGGTGCTGGAGGGGAAGGACATGGCTCACACCTGGTTGAATCCAGATGTTTTCCCCTTCCCTCTGCTCGTCCTCTTTCCTTTCTTCCTTCCCCTTTGGTTTTCCACCCCATTTTCCCTGGGTTGAGCATCACCACTTGCACCTGAGGGTGGAGTTTGTCCCTGGAGATTTCTTGGATTGTGCTGCCAGTGCAGCTCCTTCATCTCCACTACACCTCCTAGCCTTTTTCCAGTTTTAGCCCTAATGCTCTTCCTTGAGCCATAAAAACTTCCCTAGTTGCGTGCACAATTTTTTTTTAGGGTCTGGCAGAGCCCACAGGGGATCCCTCTGGGCATAGCTGGTGGGTTCAGGCAGGTCCATGAGGATACATCATCCTCTCCTCTGAAGCAAAAGCATCAGGATCCTTCCAGAGCAGAGCAGTGATCCCAAATCTAGGAATATCTTGCTCCTAAATAAAGGTGTGAGGTGTTCACAGGTGAAGAAGGACCAAGTGAGCCGTTGTGGTAACTGATTCCCTCAGGAAGCTCCTTGGTCCTGCCAGAGCTGGGTCATGCTCTCTGAAATCCTGAAAATCACTGGAATTCTCCAAATGGAAAACCTCCAAATAGGTTTCCCTTTGGGGTTCTGAAGAATGAGGCTTAGGAGTGATGCAGGGAAGGTGGGAGAGGAGGAGATGGCAGTGCTGAGGGTGTTCCTCTGCCCCTTCCCTCACTGAGGGAGGAGAAGGAAAACACATCTTCTCTGAGCTGAGGGACATGCCTGGTGGCTCCAGAGACAGGGTGTGAGGGCAACTGGCCCGAGGTGCTCTCTGCTGGTGGCAGAACTTGCTCCCAACGTGCTGAGATTTCCATTGTCTTCCCAGCCTGGACCATCTGCTTTGGATTTGTTGCTTTCCACACAGGCTGACAAAGGAGCAAAGCAACTTTTGAGGCTGGAGGATTGTTTTGTTGCTGAACTGTTGGTGCAGTTCAGCCTTGTGCCACCTCCTTCTCTGGGTATAAATCTTGGGGCTCGGAGTTGGTGTTGTTGCTGTGGTTGATCTGTGTTGTCTCCCTCCTTCCAAAGGGTTTTCCTTGTGAGGACTCATGTCCACAAGCTAAATTTGGTGGTAGATGATCCTAAATAGGGTTTTTTGGGTGGAAATAGCTGGTTTTAAAACTGTGGAAGTTGCTGTTGCAGCTTCTCTTTCTCCAGGTGAGGTTCAGTCCTTCCTTCTCCAGGTGAGGTTCAGTCCTTCTTTCTCCAGGTGAAGCTCAGTCCTTCCTTCCCAGGTGAGGCTGAATCCTTCCCTCTCCATTCAAGGCTCAGTCCTTATCCCAGAGCTGCTCCAGCTTCATGGAAAGGGCTGAGCAGTGCCACATTCCCAGCACATTCCCAACACACCTACCAGGAGCTTCTCACCCTTGTCCCGACCCAGTTCCATCCCAGCTAAGAGCCTTCAGATCCAGGGAAAAGCTGGAATTCCTTCCCCTGTGCCACTAGAACCGCTGGGAGCCCTGGCGTTCCCGGGCTCACTGTGCCCTCTAGAGGACATTCCTCATTCATTCCTGACTTTATTCCCACTTTTCCACTCCTAAAATTCCAGCTGGGAGTTCTTTCTCCAGCACTGCCATTCCCTGGGTGGCACAGACCTAGCTGTGCCTTTTCTCCTGCCAAACCTCCCAACATTCCCATGCTGTAAGCCTTCCTCTGCAATGATTATCCATAGCTTCAAATCCCAAATCCTGGAGCCTAGAGGTGGATCTGAGCAGTTCTCCTGGGATAATCCTTAGGGAATGGAGCCAAGAGGTGGTTTAGTGTCAGGAATTCAGCCCTCACTCAAACACTGAGTGTTGAGTGAAATCAGTGGAAGACAGATGGAATTTGATGGATTTTTGATGGATGTGTCCATCTGTGTTGAGGCTGTCACAGGATTCCTCTCGTCCTGGGGGAGAAGAATTTAGTAGTGTTGATAAAGAAGGAAAATAATGCCAGAAAGTGTTTCAATTTGGGTAAGAGAATGTGTGGGTTGGTTTCTTGGGGGGTTTCCTACAGATTTAGCCACTTGGATTGTGAATAGTCACAGCTTATAAATATTTAGGTTAGGGAAGGAAGAGGAAAAGGAAAAGGAGGGATATATTTTTCCCTTCCAGCAATAAAACAGGAGCAGCAAGTGCCTGTTTGTCCCTGGATTTGGGGTGGGATGTGGGCAAACAGCCCTGGAAAACCTCTGAGTCTTCCATGGGGCATGCAGTGCCTGATGGAAAAGCTTCTCTGAAGGAATTCCCCATGGCTCTGGGAAGGTGTCCCATGGCATGGGGGAGGAACTGGGTGATCCTGAAGGTCCTTCCAACCCCAGCCATTCCCAGATCGCTTCATGTCGAGTTTAATATCCACAGGGAGAGCAGGAATTGAGCTCAGTGTGTTGGGTTTGGTCAGAATTTGAGAGAGTTGGGATTAATCATGGAATCCTGGAAGGGTTTGGGTTGGAAGAAGCTTAAAGCCCATCCATTCCCACCCCATGCCATGGGCAGGGACACATTCCACCAGCTCAGGTTGCTCCAAACCTCATCCGTCGTGGCCTGGAACGCTCCCCTAGCTGCTGGTTGTCCACGATTCCACCTCGAAGTGGTAGTCGGGGCTATTTTCTTACCTGCTGTGTTTCTCTGTTGGGATTGCCAGTGAGATCAAGAGGGAGAAGAGGGTTCCCTCCCCAGATGTCATCGTGCTGTCGGACAACGAGCCCTCGAGCCCTCGCATGAACGGCTTAACCAAACTGGCCCTGAAGGAGACCAACACTGAGGCTCTCATGGTGAGTCCTGACCTGGCACACCCTCCCTGTGCCCTCTGGAGAGGACAAACCACCCACCTGCTCCTACAGAGGTTCCTGAGGTCCCCAGGGTGGGTGGGATTTGGTGGGATGAGATGAGTTTGCAAGGAGGAATCTCGGAGCTGTTGGTTTGACTCTGATGTCCTTTGGGTCACACTCAAAATCTTGATTTTTCACGTGTTTGACAAGTTCCTAATGAGCTTTTCACGTGTCTAATATCCTTTACCCACCATGGAATGTGGTGATGTCCTTCACATTGACCTTCTAACCCTTCATCAAACCATGGTCACTCATTATCCTGCTGCAAATATTTAACCCCATTTTTCCTGCCCTCCACAAGTTCTTCCCCCACACTCTGTGCCCTGGGACACAGGTGACAGTGCCAATCTGGGAATTCTTGTCCTAACTTGGATGTTCTCTGCCTTTTTCCTGCTGTTTCCCACCCTGGCCCTGCAGAAGAGCAGCCCAGAGGAGCGGGAGAGGATGATCAAACAGCTCAAGGAGGAGTTACGGTTAGAGGAAGCAAAACTTGTGCTATTGAAAAAGCTACGACAGAGTCAAATCCAGAAGGAGACCACAACTCAAAAGGTAGGGATGCTCCTGCTTTTCCACACCTTTGGGAGCAGAGGGAGGGATTTCACTACCTGTGGCCGTTGCTATTCCCTGTGGAACATGAAGTAAACACTCCAGGCCTTAATCATGGAATCACAGGATAATTTGGGTTGGAAGGAGCTTAAAGCTCATCCAGTCCCACCCTCTGCCATGGGCAGGGACACCTTCCACCAGCTCAGGGTGCTCCAACCTGGCCCTGAACACTTCCAGGGATGGGGCACATAAATTACTGGAATATCCCAGAGGAGAATCCTTGGAGGTGATGAGTGTTACAGAGTCTGAGCTCCAGGCTCTGGGAGCAGAAGCTCAGGTGTGGATTCCAGGTGTGGATTCCAAATCTCACAGAACCTGCACCTGACTCTCCAAACCCATCTAGGCAATCCTGGGAAGGAGAGGTTCATCCCTCCCCCTCTGATTCTCATCCTTCTCTTCCCTCCCCACCCCTCATCCCACATACACACAGCTCCTGGAGTATAGGAGGAGAGCTGCTCCCAGTGGAAGCTCCTCTGAAAAGGCTGATTTTTGGCAGAGCAGATCCAGGGAGCAGGATTGGAGCAGAGGGGTGAGACCCCACGAGCTGCTCCCAAGCCAGAATGCCAATGTCACTGTGGCAATAAACCATCTCAGCTGGCAGCACGTGGTGCCAGCTGGAGGGATTGGTGCTGGGGAATGCTGGAACAGCTCTCCTGGCTGGGCTGGGTGGCTCACTGGAATCTTTTCCTGGAATTCTGAGTGCTTCAGTCAATGGAATGAAGACTAATGCAATCTGCATCCCTCAGCTCCCTGCTGAAGGCTGAACCACCAGCTCTGGGTGTTGGAACTAACCAGAGTGAGAGAGCTCCTAAACTTCTTATTATCCAAAGGCTTTTCCCAAACTTTTTTCCACTGTGTTATGCTTGATCCCAGCTGCAACCAGTAGTACTGGTGGGGAGGGCTGAGGCAGCTCAAGCAGATCTCCCCAGTGGTCTGCTGCTGGTGTGTAAACTCTGTCTTCCTGCTCCAATCTTCTCCCTACCTGCCTCATTTCCTTGGAATCTGCATGTAAACTTCTTATTATCCAAAGGCTTTTCCCAAACTTTTTTCCACTGTGTTATGCTTGATCCCAGCTGCAACCAGTAGTACTGGTGGGGAGGGCTGAGGCAGCTCAAGCAGATCTCCCCAGTGGTCTGCTGCTGGTGTGTAAACTCTGTCTTCCTGCTCCAATCTTCTCCCTACCTGCCTCATTTCCTTGGAATCTGCATGTGGAGATGCTCAGAGGAAGAAAGAGATGTGGGAGATGCTCAGAGGGAAGAAAGAGGTGTGAGAGATGCTCAGGGGAGGAAAGGGATGTGGGAGATGTTGGAGGAAGAAAGAGATGTGGGAGATGCTCAGGGGATGTGGGAGATGTTGGAGGAAGAAAGAGATGTGGAGATGCTCAGGGGATGTGGGAGATGTTGGAGGAAGAAAGAGATTTGGGAGATGTTGGAGGAAGAAAGAGATTTGGGAGATGTTCAGGGGATGTGGGAGATGCTGGAAGAAGGAGAAAGGGATGTGGTAGATGCTCAAGGGATGTGGAAGATGCTCAAGGCTATGTGAGAGACGCTGGAAGAAAAAAAGAGCTGTGGGAGGGGGGAAACCAAACCGAACCTTTGACAGTTCTCTTGCTGAGGCCTGAGGAGCTAAACTCTTGTGTTCCCTCCCCTCCTGTTTTCCTGCTTCCAGCCTTATCCCTCTGCTTTCTCTCTGGTTTCTCCTCTGCAGCCTGCAGGTTCCTCTGGGAGTGCTGTGGCCACGCCGCCGCCCTTGGTGCGCGGCGCGCAGAGCGTTCCTGCTGCCAAGGCGTCCCTGCAGGTCAGTGGGCAGGGCCAGCTGCAGCATAGGGCATGGAGCACAGCCCAACATTCCCATCACATCATTCCCTCGCAGCCCCAGGGAACCTCTGCTCCTCCAGCTCCTCCAAATCCACACCCCGAGCTGCGTAAGGAGGGCGCGGTGGGAGATGGAGGTGGGATATGTCCCGTGGAGGTAACTTCTCATCCTGGGATGATCATCCCCATCCACTCTGCTGAGCAATCCATAGTGCTGGCTCTCTTGAGAGAAAGGATGCCATGGGATGCTGGCATAGAGATTTTTGGAGCAGCTTTCCAGAGGGTGAATTGTGCCCTCAGCAAGATGAGGTGATGGTTTAGGGGTTACAGGTTGATGGTTGGACTTGATGATCTTAGAGGTCTTTTCCAACCTTGGTGATTCTACAGACTAGGAGCTGAGGGAATTCTACCATTCCCTCTTGGCCTGGTGGCACATAGGGTAGGAAGGAGCTAAATTTGATGTTGGGAAGGTTTGGGGAAGGAGGAATAAAGCAGAGTCACTTGGCATCTATCAACTTAATCTTCCTCTCGAATCTTAAGTCTTGTTGGGCTTATTTACCTAATTGGAATCAAATTCCCAAACTGTTTCAGCACAAAGGGTTTTCACCTGGAGATAGCCCAGAATGCCAGACCCAAGGGAAGGGGAGGGTGGATTTGCTCTCCCTTTAGGAGACATTCCCAAAGCCAAAGCTTTGTCAGCTGGAGGAATCTCTTCCTTGGGGCCTGTTGGCTGCAGACAGCACTTCCAGAGGAACTGCACCACGAGTGAAGCCTTCAGCCAGTGAAGCTTGGACAGAGCTGAGAGCTAAAACCCTCAAACTGAGCTTGTGCTGCCTAATCTGTGCTCTTTGGGCACCTTAACCTCCACCTGCTTTGGCCTGAGTGGGAAAACTACCAATTCCTGGGGATGGGAGCTCAGGCAACGTTTGGGATTGGGTTGAAGAGCTCAACAGATGGGAGAGAACTTCCCACCTGCCTCAGTCCACTTGTGGTCACTCAAGGAAGTGGAGACTCACTGGGCTTTGCTCCCCAGAGCATGCTGAGGGTGGAAGGAGGGAAGTGAGGGAAAGCCACAGGAATGGGCTGGAGAGGTCTGTGGGAGCTCCTGAGGCTCATGGCAAAGCCTCAGTGTCCTGAGGAACATCTGAGAGGTGTCACAGCGTCACCAGGAACTCCGAGGATCTAACCCGCTGCAGCCCGAAATCCACGGGCAGCAATTCCCCAAACCTCCTTCAGCTGATCCTTTTGCTTCTCCATGATTTTTCTCAAGCTTTTCCTGTCTCTTGCCTTTCCCACCGTGCCCACCTCGCTCACCTCCAGCTTCTCCCTCATGCTCTCCCCTCACCAATCCCACTCTGTTTTCATCGGATTGGGGTTTTTTGGGAATGCTGAAGGCAGCACAGCCACGTCCTGTGCTGCAGCTCCTCCACTGCCTCCATCCCTCAGCCCTGCCCACAGCCCGGGGGTGACTGTTCCCTGTTTTTCAGACCTCCTCCACACGGATCCCTGGCACTGTGATCCCTCCTCCCCTGGTCCGGGGGGGCCAACAAGCTTCTTCCAAGCTGGGAACTCAGCAGAACACTCAGATTGTGATGCCTCCCCTGGTCCGAGGGGCTCAGGTGAGTGGTCACCCTCAGCTCCTGCTCCTGGATCCCTCTGCTCCCTTTTCCCACTCAACTTTCTGCTTGTCCAGAGGGAAACTAGGAGTTCCTTGCTAGGATTCCTTACTAGAACTAGAGGGAAGACCCTGCAGCATTCCAGGTGTGTGTTTGTGTGAGCCCGAGGAGCTCCTGTGGCTGTGGAGTTTGCTGCTTTCCCTGCAGATCTGCCCTAAAATTCCCTGGAGAGCAGCAGAGAGGGAATGACACACAATCCTTCTTCCTTCCATACTTTCCCCCTCTGATAATTCTTTCTATCCTATCAATTTCACCTTTGAAATGCTAAAAATCACCTGGGTTTGCCCTAATTTCCTGTCCTGTGACTGACCAAGAGCTGCTGGAATGAGCTGGTGCTGCTTGGCAGGGTCTGGATCACCTGGAATGGCAAACTGAGGTGTTCCTGAGGGAGCAGGAAAACAGCATTGAGTTGGATCCACTCTGCTGGAATTGTGGCTTCCTTGGGAGACCAGGAAAAACCATCTCCTGCTTTAAGGAGGATTTAATTTGCTGGCACAGGTGTGCTTGGAGCTGCTGCACAGCAGAAGGAGGGGAAAAGATGTATCCATGGGGACAGGACACATCCCCAGGGGTTGGAGACATCCAGAAGGGCAGGACACATCCATAGGGATGGGCAAGGCCTGAGGGAGTTGGGGTTGGTTAGCCTTGAGAAGAGACTCAGGGGTGACCATAGCACCAGGACACACATCCAGAGGCCTTTCCTTTCTGCTCTCCTTAAGGAGAGAAATCCTCAACAGGCTTAAAATTACGTGTGTGGAAGGATATTGACTTGGAAACTTGGGAGGGTTTGGCCAGAACGTGGTGGTCTTGTCTGAGCATCTCCATGAGCATCTTCTGATTACCTCTCTGAGCATTTCTTGAGCATCTCCATAAGCATTTCTTGAGCATCTCCATGAGCATCTCTTGAGCATCTTTTGACCATCTCCATAAGCATCTCTTGAGCATTTTTTGACCATCTCCATGAGCATTTCTTGAGCCTCTTTTGACCATCTCCATGAGCATCTTAGCTCTTGAGCATCTCCATGAGCACCTCTATGAGCAACATATCTCTTGAACATCTCCATGAGCATCTTTTGACCATCTCAGTGAGCATCTCTGGTCATGTTCCTTGTTCCACCGACAGAGGAAATAGTTCAAACACCCCATTTTAACATGGCTATTATGCCCAGGCCTTCTCTGCCTTCCTGCCCTGCCTCATTCCCACTCCCCATCCCACTCAACTCCCTATCAACCCCCCGTGACTCCTCCTCTCACCCCACATCTGTGTCTCCACAGCAAATCCACACGATCCGGCAGCATTCCAGCACGGGACCTCCTCCTCTGCTGCTGGCGCCGCGTGCCACCGTGCCCAGCGTACAGATCCAGGGCCAGAGGATCATCCAGCAGGGTCTCATCCGCGTGGCCAACGTGCCCAGCACCAGTTTGCTTGTCAACATCCCCCAGGTGAGTCCCTCAGGTGTCCCCAACTCTCCTGTGCTCCTCCACATCCCCCAGGTGAGTCCCTCAGCACTCAATTCCTTAACCCTCAGCCCTGAATTTTCACCTTTGGCTCCCTCAACACTAAACTCCTTTAACCTTCATCCCTCAATTCTCACCTTCAGGTCACTCATCCCTAAACTCTCTAACCTTCATCCCTGATCTCTGACCTTTTGGGTCTCTCATCACTAAATACTTTAACCCTCATCCCTAATTTCTCACCTTTTGTTTCCTCAACACTAAATTCCTTTAACCTTCAGCCCTCAGTTCTCACCCTCAGGTCACTCATCCCTAAACTGTCTAACCTTCATCCAAAAAATCTCACCCTTGAGTTCCTCACCACTAAGTTCTTCAACCCCCATCCCTAATTTCTCACCTTTTGGCTCCTTCACTACTAAAGCTCCTTAACCTTTATCCCTCAATTCTCACCTTTTGGGTCCCTCATCACTAAATTCTTCAACCCTCATCCCTAATTTCTCACCTTTTGGCTCCCTCATCACCAAAGAACTCACAGCAATGACAGGTTAGAGGTTGACCTTGATGATCTGAGAGATCTCTTCCAAGGCTGACGATTCTCTTGTGTCTCCTCCAGGCTTCCCCCACCTCGATGAAGGGTGCCCCAGTGGGCTCAGGCCAGGCTGGTGCCTCGGGGGGCACTGCAGCCCTGGGCAGCTCTGGGGAGTCTCCTGCCAGCAGACAGGCAGCAGCCAAACTGGCCCTCAGGAAACAACTGGAGAAGACCCTGCTGGAGATCCCTCCTCCCAAACCTCCTGCCCCAGAGATGAACTTCCTGCCCAGTGCGGCCAATAACGAATTTATTTACTTAGTTGGCTTGGAAGAAGTTGTGCAGAATCTGCTGGAGACTCAAGGTGAGTGTTGGAGATGTTCCTCAAGTGGTTGTTGCCTGGGGTTTGCCTCCTTGGGTAGTTTGTGATGAGCTTCAGGTGTTGCAGGGTGAAATTGGTATCTCCTGTCAAGTCTAGGATTCACTTCCTCTAATAATCCTCAGGCTAAATCTGGGATTTGCTTCTTGAATCATTTCCAAACTGGTTTCCAATCGTTTCCAAACCCAATCACAGGTTGGGTTGGGGTGGATGGTTGGGTTGGGCTGGAACGTTGGGGTGGAAAGTTGGGATGGGGTGGAAGGTTGCATTGGGGTAGAAGGTTGGGTTGGGGTGGATGGTTGGGTTTGGATGAAGTTTTATCCCTTTCCAAGCTTCCCAGGGCAGAGCTGGAGCTGAGCTGAGCCTTTGTGTCCCCAGGTAAGGTGTCAGTGGCCATGTCCTCCCGGGAGCCATACATGTGTGCCCAGTGCAAGACTGACTTCACCTGCCGCTGGAGGGAGGAGAAGAATGGCACTATAATGTGTGAGACCTGCATGACCTCCAACCAGAAGAAGGCCCTGAAGGCTGAGCACACCAACAGGCTCAAGGCTGCCTTCGTCAAGGCCCTGCAGCAGGAGCAGGAGATCGAGCAGAGGATCCTGCAGCAAACAGCCTCCCCTGGGCAGACCAAGGCAGAGCCCATCGTGCAGCACCACTCACTCAAACAGGTTTGGCATCTCCTCACTATCACCAGCAGGTCCTGGGGTTGGTGGGATGAAGGCTGATCCTTGGGATTGGCCAGGGTGGGTTAACTCATGTCCTGGAAAATCCATCTCTGATTTGGTTTAGGGTGTAATTGATCACAGTTATTTGCCCTAAATTAGAAGCACTTTTTTTTTTTGGCTGCTTTGCAGCTGATGTTGCCTCCTCATCCCAGGAGCTTCCATAGGCACAAACCCCAGAATCCCCAAATCCCAGAACCCCAGACTGGGTTGGGTTGGAAGGACCTCATGGATCATCTCCCACTAGACCCAACCCACCCCTTAGTTCCCTCGTGGATCATCTCCCACTAGACCAAACCCAACCCTTAGTTCCCTTGTGATCATCTCCCACTAATCCAAACCTAACCCTTAGTTCCCTCATGGATCATCTCCCACTAGCCCAAACCTAACCCTTAGTTCCCTCATGGATCATCTCCCCCTTACTAGACCAAACCCAACCCTTACTTTTCTGCCAAGACACCTTGGCTGTTCCACCCCAAACCTTTCACACTGCATCCCACACTGGATAGGAGACCCCAGGAAGGGCCAGAGGACCAGGAAAGGCTTGGAGAAGTGCCACTGTGTGTCCTGTGTCCCTGCAGAGCTCCAGCCAGCTGTCCCGGGGCTCGGGGACGCCGCGGGGAGTGCTCCATGCCTTCGGCCAAGCCGCCAAGCTGACGAGCGCCGCGCTGGGCTCCAGGCCCGGCAAGCACAGCGACAGGGCTGGCTCCAAGGGCTCTGCTGCTGCCTGGAAGAAGAATCCCATCAACACAGGTAGGAATCATCTCCAGGAGCTCCTGTTTGGGCTCGCTGGTGGCTCTCGGGGCAGTGTTGCTCAGGGTTTGCTTGTGGAGTCGTCATCCTCAGTTGGGTTTGGGGTGGTTTGTCCTCAGGAAAAGGTGATGGAACCAAATCCCATCTGTAACTAAACTCAATGGATTTCATGTTGGGATTGAGTGACCATCAGCAAGTTTGCAGATGACACAAAGCTGGGGGGAGTGTGGATCTGCTGGAAGGCAGGAGAGCTCTGCAGAGGGACCTGGAGAGATGGACTGATCCCAATGGGATAAGGTTGAACAAGGCCAAGTGTTTCTCCTGCACTTTGGCCATACCAATGCCATGCAGAGCTCCAGGCTGGGACAGAGTGGCTGGAGAGCACCAGGAGGAAGGGTCCTGGGAAGTGGATGGACAGGGAGCTGAACAGGAGCCAGCAGTGTGCTCAGGGGGCCAAGAAGGCCAATGGCATCCTGGCCTGGAGCAGGAACAGTGTGGTCAGCAGGACCAGGGAGTGATTCTGCCCTTGGAGGTTTTCAAGCTGAGACTGGATGTGGCACTTATTGCCATGGTCTAGTGACCACAATAGGGTTGGATGTGATGATCTTGGAGTTCTTTTCCAACCCAGTTGGCTTAATGACCTGCCACAGTAGGGTTGGACTTGATAATCTTGGAGCTCTTTTCCAACCTGATTGATTCTATGACCCTGCCATGGTAGGGTTGGACTTGATGATCTTGGAGCTCTTTTCCAACCTGGTTGAGTCTATGACCCTACCACAGTAGTGTTGGTCTTAATAATCTTGAAACTCTTCCAACCTGATTGATTCTATGACCCTGCCACAGTATGATTGGACTTGATAATCTTGGAACTCTTTTCCACCCTACTTGAGTCAATAATTCTATGATCCATCTCCCCCTGGAGCTGCCTGACCAGTTAGCCCATCCATGCTCAGCTGGATCCAATGCTCACATTCCCGAGGGACTCCGTGCCAGGGCTGTGGTCTGAGTGGTGTTGTGCCCCATAATTGTGTCATCCCTGTCCCTTGTGCCCTCAGGTGGAGCTCTGCCCTTCGTCAGCCCCAGCCTCGCTGTGCACAAGTCGTCGTCGGCCGTGGATCGCCAGCGCGAGTACCTGCTGGACATGATCCCTCCCCGCTCCATCCCACAGTCTGCCACGTGGAAATAATGCAGAGGGGGAAGACTTTTCCTGGTTTTCTGCCATCCTTCTTTTTGTTGGGTTTTTTTTTTTTTGTTGGTTTTTTTTTTTTTTTTTATACCACAGCACAGTGGAATCTGCTTTAATCCCAGCTGGATAATGCCCCAGGCTTTCTAGGATGCAAAACGACCACTCCTGATCCCATCGAGGTGATCCCACGGGAAAAGGCTGAACTGGAGCTGCTCTGGGGCTGAACTTTGGCTGCTGGAGGTTGCCAGGGAAGGGAGAAAAAGAATTCCTGCAGTTTTGTTGGGTTTTGGTTGGGTTTTTTCTTTCTTTTTTTTTTTTTTTTTTTTTGGGCTTTATTTAGTTTGGAAGTTTTTGTCACCAGCACAAAGGACTCAGAGACTTCTCTGCCCGTGGCAAAGCCTTCGGGGTCGGATCGAGCCTCAGCCTGGAGTTCCCTTCCTAGAGAGAGAGAGAGAGAGAGAGGAATTCCAGCCCTTTCTGGCATTTTAGCAAGCCAAGTTCATGGGTGCTCCTCTTCCCTGCCCTTCCTCCAGCCAGGAATGCTCATCCCAGTGTTCCCCAAGCTCCTTGGTGGGGAATGCTGAGCTGGTGAGAAATGTAACACCTCCCAATTCCCATTGAGTTTGGGTTTTCCTAAGGGATGGCTGCCACCAAAACTTGCCTGGGAGGTGGGAATCACTGCAGGAGAGTGTTTCCCTTTGCTTGGATTCTGTTTGGAATAGACTTTGGAACTGTTGTTAGTTGGACTAGACAAAACCCTCAGCTGGGACTGAGCCCAGCGAGGAGCACTTGGGCCTTCCCTCCCTTCCCAGAGGCTCCAGAGTGGAACTACTTGGGATTATTTTCCTTTTGGGAAGGGGTTTTTGATTTTCTTTTGTCATTGTTTGGAGTAATTTTGACTCCAGCTCTCAAGGAATTCCAGGAGCTGCATGCAATCAGGGAAGGGAGCACAGAGCAGGAGCTGCTCTGCTGCTTCCCACCGGGAATTCTGGCTCTTCCCAGCACATCTGGAGGGCAGGATTGCCCCCAGGATTCCCTTAGTGTTCTTCCATGCATCCCAAGCATGCTCCTCTATCCATCTTTAGCCCAGGTTTGGATAGAGCTTTAGGAAACTTGGGAAGTTTCCCTATGGTTTCGCTGGAGATTCCCAAGTGCATCAGGTCCAGGTTTGGCCTTGGGGTTGGTTCTTCTCCTCTTCTCTTTGGCTTCTCCCAAATTCCAGTTGAATTGAAGGGGCAGAATTCCATGCCTTACTCCTCCCTGTGTGGCATATCAGTGCTGGAAGGAGGAATTTTTTTCAGGATTCTCTATCCAGAATCTATATGTCCATAAATAAAGGAAAAGGGAAGGGAAAACACTTCAAGAATCTATTTTCTTAGCATTAGGGCCAAACTGGAAGCCAAGAATTCCTTAGGATCATCCTCTTGGATCCAACCAGTTCATAGGGACAAAAAAAAAAAAAGAGTCCTTTTCCCTCTTTTTTTTGTTTTTCCTTGTTTTCCTCCATGTTTAGGGATTTGACCAACCCAAACAGCCTAGAGAAATTCCTTCCTTGGGCAAACTGGGATTTGGGGCTGGAAAAAAGCTGCAGAATTCCCATTGGGAATTTGATTTCCAATTGGATAGAAAGAACTAAAAAAAGGATGGAGAAGAATTGAGTCGACTTTGGAAGTTTTCTATTCATTCCAGGTTGGTTTGGGTTGGGAATTTTGCAGAGGAACAAGTTGTGCATTTGCTTTTTGCACTTGATATGAGGGAAAAGTTTGAATTCCTTCCCTGTTTGGAATTTTTGAGGTTGGTTTTGGGAGATTTTTCCTCTCCTGGAGAACTCCCTATGTTTTTCCCCTCATGGATCCCAATGTTTATCCCTGTTAAATCCTTGGAAAAGTTCATTTGGTTCCAAAAAAAACCCAAGTCAAACACCTCAAATGCAATTCCCAAAGGTTTTTTGGGGAAAGCAATTCCACAGCTAATTCCCAGTGCTGGAAACAACTTGGGAGGATCCTGGGAAAAAGGAAAAAAATAAAGGGAATGAGGAGCAGAAATGTTAAACAGCAACTTAGGTGTTATAAAAACCATGTCAAAACCTTTTTGGATCCCAAGAGGATCACTGGAAATGGGAATTTCAGCCCAACAGGGATAAAAGATAAGTCTTAAAATCCTTGGGAATGTTTTCACGTTGGAAGTGAGAAAGGAACAACAGGTTTGTGTGTTTAGGCTTAAAAAGGTTAAATTCCAATTTGTTTTGCAGATGCTTCAAACTAAAATCCTCCAAAAAAGCTGTTTTAGGGATTGGGGAGATTTGGTTTGTTGAGAAGGGAAGATCCCACATGGAATGAGGGTGGAAAAACCCAAAATCCTTCACAGAAGGAGGCTGGAAATGAAAATCCAACATGGATTGAGGCTGAAAACCACAAAATCCAACATGGATTGAGGCTGAAAACCCAAATCCCAGGTGGAATTGGGATTCCAGGCAGTTCTGACATGGTTTTTCCCTGTTGTTCTTGGAGTGTTAAAGGTAACTTGAAGGATTTATCCATTGCTTCCATGTTTCTACTAAAGAGCTGGAAAACACTTCACATGGTTTTCCAAACCTGATCCAAATATTCCCTTTTTTTTCCCTAGGGAAAACACCTCAAAACAGGCAAAAAAAAATTCCCAATGAACACAACATCCACATCGTGGTGGTGTGTCCTCGGGGGAATCCTTGGGAATGAGGCAGGAGAAGAGGGTTGGGACACAAATTCCATAGCAAACCTTGGCTGATTCCTCCTCTGGAATTCCACAGTCCCTGAAAGTTGTTGGGAATGGGGCAGGAAGGAGAGTTGGACACAAATTCCATAGCAAACCTTGGCTGATTTTTTTTTTTTTCCTCTGGAATTCCTCATTGCCTGAAAGCTCTTGGAAATGGGACAGGAGGGAGGGTTGGACACAAATCCCAGAACACACCTTGGTAATATATTCCTCCTCTGGAATTCCTCATCCCTGAGACCTGTTGGGAATGAGACAGGAAGGAGAGTTGGACACAAATTCCATAGCAAACCTTGGCTGATTTTTTTTTTTTTCCTCTGGAATTCCTCATTGCCTGAAAGCTCTTGGGAATGGGGCATGTTGGGAATGGTGGCAGGAAGGAGGGAGGGTTGGACACACATCCCATGCCACACCTTGGCTGTGTATTCCTCTCTGGAATTCCTTGGAGTCTCCCGGAGCGGCGGAAGGAAACCCCCAGTGACTTGTGCTCCCTGAGGCCAAAGGCTGGAGCTGGGAATGCTGCAGGGGGAGCAGCAGCCTTGGCTCCCTGTTTTCCTGAGCCTGCCCTGCCTGGCTGTGCCCATTCCCAGGGCTCCTGCTCCCTCCTTTCCCGGGAGAGGCTCCGGAGCGGCCGCGGATCCGCAAAGCCATAAGAGCCCTCGGAGCCTCCCCGAGATTTTCTAAGCCAGGAATAATGAGAAATGACTTTTCTTGTACTTTAGATTTTAGCAACTTGTGAAATAAAACCCTCTTGGATTTTCATTGGAAAACCCTCTTGGAATTTTGGGAGCTTGGTGTGGTTTATTTGCCACGGGGGATTGGGGTTTGTTCCCAGGGGGATTTGGAGGGAGTGAAGTTTTTGGTTTGTCTCTCACACATTTCAATACCTTTTTCAGCACCTTCTCCATTATCACTTCCCTATTCCAGGGATTCCTGCACAGCCATTCTAGCTGTAACAGCCAGGAAAACTCCTGGATCCTCAATAATTCCACCTGGTTTGGGGTTGGGTTTTCCATCCATCTCTTCCCATCTTCATTCACCTTTCCACTCTCAAATCCAATTGTCACTTTTTCGAGGCTTCCTAAGGACAAATTCCATTCCCAAAGGCCAATCCAGCATGGAAAATGAGATATTTGGACTGCAGGAGGGAGAGGAGTGGAGGAAATTCAGGCAAATCTCATCCCAACCCTCCAGTTTGGCTCATTTTTCCCTGTCCTTGTGGAATGAGGGAGGGAGGGAGTTTAGCCCTGGGATTTGTTGGGATCCCAAATCTTGGCTCATCAAGCCCCAAGTTAAATAGGAATCATAAATTCCCAGTAAATCCTGAGAGTCCCAAGGGTGGAAGGATCAGGATTAATCAATAGTTAATTGATAATTGTATCTCCAGGGAGTTTAGTCTTGGAATGACAATAAACAAATGGAGAAACACTTGGATTTGCCTCTTATTCCCTGGATTTTGGGGTTGGGATGCAGCTCAGGAGGAGGTGGTGGAGCTGCTCCTTCCTCTGCCAAGGTTTCCTCTTCCCAGAGAAACAGGTTGATGGGAGAAAGGGAAAGGAAGAACACAAAAAGCTGGAATTTCTATGGATTATGGGATTTCCGTGGAATTTTCTGGAGTGACCTGAAAAGCCACAGCTGCATTCAACATCCTCATCCTGGAAATGAGACCCAAACACCTCCTCATCCCTTCTGATCCCACCTGGAATTGCTGCTATGCACTTGGATACCCTTTGGATTGGATCTTCCTGCTCCAGGATCCTTCAGGAAGCCTTTGGATCACTTCCCTCTGGGATTGGAGCACTGGGATGTGATGGCAAACTCCAACCAGGACATTGCCAGGTTGTCTTTGCCTCCGATTCCAAACCCCAAGTTGTGGGAATGTTCTCAGCAGCCTGGGAAGAGCCAGAGGCATCCAGAGATTCCCAGCACAGCTTGGAATTGGGGATTGCTGCTTGGGAGGAGAGAGGGAAGAAGGATGTGGATCCTGATCCAAGCGAAGCTCAGCTTGGAGAGAGGGGGAAAATGGACATCTATTTCCAGCCCCGTGTCCATGTGCAGCAGGTTTGGATTGGCAAGGAATCCTGGAAACTTGGGATTCCTGAAGTGCTGGATCCAACCCTGAGGGTCTGGAGGGGCTGGAAACCTCCTGATCCTCATCCCTGTCCTGCTACACATGATCCAATTGCTGTTTCCAGCCCTGGAGTGGGTGGGAAGATGCTCCCAGAGAAGTGATGGATCCTGTTGAGCTG